AACTTGAGCTACAGTGACTGTTGATAGGGATTATGGGAGTTGGATATTACTTTGTAGAATTCACATTTAAAGCATCTGGACATGCCTGATGATATTCTAGATATGGTACATATGTTAAGGAGGTGCTTCAAAGAGTTTGTGAAATAATTCCATCGTCTTTTCATTCCTTTTTGTCCGCGAACTTGTTGAAGCCCCTTGTACATCTCCTTTCATGACCTTAGTAAAATAAATTAACTTAGAAATGACGGACCAAAAAGGAAGAGGGAAGAGGAGCAGTGACATGAATTAGTTCTGAATCAAATTTCTTTTTATCTTTTTTTTCCCTTCCATCATCTCATTATTAAATATGCTGTAAATCTTGCCTCTCTGATGACCTTTTTTTTCTTATTGGATTGCTCTCGTTGTTCTAATGCCACCTTTTCTGATATTAAAGGCACTCAGAGCCAAAGCTATTAAGAAGCAATGATTGCTAGATGATCTTTTTATGGTCACATGGACAGTCTTGAGGAATATTGCTCTGTCCCCAAAGGGAGAGGAATAGAGCATTTCTGTTTCATATTATGTATTTCCATCATAGAATTGTTGGTCATGCAAAGATATCAGCTTGAGGACTAAGGTGCGCCTGACCTGGTTATTTTCAGTAACTTCATATGCATGTGAAAATTGGACAGTGAATAAGGAAGATCATAGAAGCATTGATGCATTTGAGTTATGGTTTTGGAGGAGAATATTGAAAGTGCCACGGGCTGTCAAAAGAATCAACAGATCTGTGTTGGAAGAAGTGCAGCTGCCAAGCTTTGCCTCTCATACTTTGGACATATTGTCAGAAGGGACCATATGGAGACCATATGGAGAAGGATATCATGTTTGGTAAGGTGGAGGGTCAGAGAAAAAGAGGAAGACCCCCAGTGAGATGGATTGGCACAGTGGCAGCATCAATGGTCTCAAGCATGGCAACATTTATGAGATTGGCCCAGGACCGGGCAGTGTTTCATTCTGTTGTGCATGCATAGGGTCACTATGAATCGGTACAGACTTGACTGTTCCTAATAACAACATTATTGCTGGTCCTCACTCTGCCACTCATTAAACTTGGAGAAGCCATTGCATGTGCTCACGTAAAAAATGGAAAGCAAGTTGTTGCTACTTTACATGTATCAAAAATTGATTGTTGGAATCAAATGAGATTATATGAGGGGACTTCATAAAGTCTTTGGAAATATTATATATTTCCATTATAGTGTTGTTGGTCAAGCAAAGATGGTAGCTTGAGGACTAAGGTGAATTATCTTTTCATTCAGTTTTCCATGAACTTTTTGGGGCTCTCATATACACAACATATAATCTGTAGTTCCTAATTTATGATATATTGAAGTTACAGTGAACCACATTTACCACACTCTACTGTCCAGAAGCTTTTTGTTAAAGAGTATAGTGGCTCAGGGCCTGGACTTGAGTGTTCCTTGTGTTCTTGACCCTTTACTTGAGAAAAGTGTTAAACATAGGTCAGCTTTTCTAGGTTTTCAGGAGAAAGCCTGTCTTTGAGCTGACACTATCGTTTTTACATCCTTCCAAGCCTCCACACCAGCCACTCTTTGGAAACCCTATACAGGTTTCGCTGTGAGTCGGAAGCAACTTAGAGACACTTAGCAACAACAACAAAGCCTCCTCAACCAGGAGTCCTGGTTGTGCAATGGTTGTACACTAGGTTGCTAACAAAAAGTTGGTCAGTTCAAACAGCACCACCAACTGCTCTGTGAGTGAAAGCTGTAGCAGTCTGCTTTGAATTGAAACCTTGAAACCCTTTGGGAACAGTTCAGCTCTGTCAACAAGGTGGTTACGTGTCAGAATTAAGTGGAAGGCAGTGTGTTTTGTTTTAGTTTGGAGCCTGTTACATGATGTGGTAAAACATAAAGAACCCAGGTCAGGGCATAGAACAAAAAGAGGAACCATAGAAAGTTGCCATGGTTTCTGCCTGTTCATGCCAACCACGTGATACTCTACAGCGATGTAGAGTACTAAAGCTGGAATCAACAGGGTGAGATCAGACTCTTGGCAGCTAAGCTAATCATTTAAAAAACCAAACAACTCGCTGTGGTCAGGTTGATTCCGACTCATAGCAACCCTAGAGGATGGAGTAAAGCTGCCTTATATGGTTTCCAAGGCTATAAATCATCATGAAAACAGACTGCCACATCTTTCTCCAGTAGAGCAGCGAGGAGATTTGAACAGCTGACCTTTTGGTTAGCAGCTGAGTGCTTTAACCATGGTAGTGCCAGAGCTCCTTAGCTAATAGTTTGTTGTTGTTATTGTTAAGTGTTGTGGAGTTGACTTTGACTCATAGTGACCCAGTATAGGGTTTTTGAGGCTTTAAATCTTTTGAGAGAATAGAAAAGTCTGTCTCATCTTATCCCATGAAGCAGCTGGTGGGCTCAAACCACCGACCTTGCGGTTCACAATCCTGCACTTATCCTTTGGAGTATGTCTAAATTTCTTGTGAAAATTGCTATTTAATGTTTCCTACTACAATTTTTCTCAAGCTGGGAGAACTGAAGAAAAAATTTAAGCCTCAACTTTCGTTATCGAAAGATTCTCTGGGCAAATTATTGGATGATGCAGAAAGCATCAAGAGAAGACGCAAGGGGAATACACAGAGTCACTATACCAGAAGGAAATGGTTAATGTTCAACCGTTTCAAGAGGTAGCATATGATCAAGAGTCAATGATACTGAAGGAGGAAGTCCAAGGTGCATTGACGGAATTGGCAAAGAACAAGGCACCAGGAATTGATGGAATCAAAATTGAAATCTTTCAAGAAAGTGAGGCAGCACAGGAGGTACTCATTCATCTCTGCCAAGAAATTTGGAAGACAACTATCTGGCCAACTGATTGGAAGAGATCCTTATTTGTGCCTATTCCAAAGAGAGGTGACCCAAGGGAATGCAGAAATCATCGGACAATCTCTTTGATATCCCATGCAAGTAAAGTTTTGCTAAAGGTAATACAAAAACGGCTGCAAGCGTACATTGACAGAGAACTTCCAGGGGTTCAAGCCGGATTCAGAAGAGGCCGTGGAACGAGGGATATCATTGCTGGTGTCCAATGGGTCTTGGCTGAAAGCAGAGAATATCAGAAAGATGTGCTTTATTGACTACACAAAGGAAAAGCTTTCGATTGTGTGGATCATGACAAACTATGGACAACATTGTGAAGTATGAGTATTCCAAAACACTTAATTGTGCTCATGAGGAATATGTACCTGGACCAAGAGGCGGTTGTTCGAACAGAACATGGGAACACTGAGTGGTTTAAAATCAAGAAGTGTGTGACAGGTTGTATTCTTTCACCATACTTATTCAACCTGTATGCTGAGCAAATAATCCGAGAAGCTGGTTTATATGAAGAAAAACATGGCATCAGGATTGGAGGAAGATTCAGTAAGAACCCACGATATGCAGATATACAACCTTGCTTGCTGAAAGTTAAGAGGACTTAAAACATTTACTGATAAAGATCAAAGAGAGCAGCCTTCAGTATGGATTACATCTCAATGTAAAGAAAAAATAATCCTTACCACTGGACCAATAAACATTCTTATCAGCAGAGAAAGGATTGAAGTTGTTAATGACTTCATTCTTCTTGGATCAACTATCAACACTCAAAGAAGCAGCAGTCAAAAAATCTGCTGCAAAAGATCTTTGTAAAGTGTTGAAGAGCAAAGATGTCACCTTGAGGACTAAGGTGCGACTGACCGAAGTCATTGTATTTTCAGTAAACTCATATGCATGCAAAAACTGGACAGTGAATAAGAAGGACCATAGAAGAATTGACACTTTTGAGTTATGGTGTTGGAGGAGAATATTGAAAGTGCCATGGGCTGTCAAAAGAACTAATAGATCTGTTTTGGAAGAAGTGCAGCCAGAGCGCTCCTTTGAGGGCAAGATGGCCAAACTTCACCTCTCATACTTCAGACATATTGTCAGGAGGGAGCAGTCACTAGAGAAGGATATCATGTTTGGTAAGGTAGAGAGGGTCAAAGAGAGAGAGGAAGACCCCCAACAAGATGGATTGGCCAAGTGGCAGTATCGGTGGGCTTAAGCGTGGCAACAATAGTGAGGATCAGGCAGTGTTTGGGTTTGCTGTGCATAAGGTCGCTATGAGTCAGTACCGATTTGATGGCACCTAACCACAACAACTACTGCAATTTCTTAAGTTCTTTTTATTAACTTTCATTCTAGCCACTATTGACGGTGCTCATAATATGTAATGTTCTTATGAGAATTTCAAAAATTCTAAAGATAGCTCACTGCCCCTTACTTTTTATATCCTGACGTTAATATGGACAGAAAAAAATTATAGGTTAGATATTTAGTTGTTCTGTATCTCTCCATTGTCACTTTTTCACTGAATATATCTGTATATTTTCTAGTTTTATGCAGGTTTTTAATACTTCTATTTTGTGCATCCTGTGATTTGTTTTACAGCATTCAGATGTCCTCCTGTACTTAGATGCTGTAAACTTACAGAATGCATGCCTTATTACTGACTTTTTGATCATGATTTAATGTATAGTTGCCGTCATAAACTATAGCTGTGCTTATTTCATTTAAAAAAAAAAATCATTTAGTAAATTATTCCCCTAGGAAAATACGAAAGCTGCATGAAGTGTGTTATTTATTTTAAAGTCTTCTGACATTCTTAACTATGAAATTATCTATAAAGTTACTAATTTAGTGCAGATTGTATAAAGTGGGCATTTTAATTTTGGAATTTTGTGCTTATATAAACAGGTTTACCTAAGGTAAGTTCAATTAGCCAAACGATCCCTTCCTTTATTATTGCTGCATCTATGTCTTCCAGTTAAGAAAAATTTTGGAGGTAATTCAAAACTGTAAAATGCTGAGTACATATTAGTATCTTCTTATAAAAGTTGGAACACATTCAGTTTGATTAAACTCTGCTTCATTAGATTCTAATGTGCTATATATAATGTATTTCAGAAACTCCAGAAAGGAACTTAATGACATACGATTTGAGTTTACTCCAGGAAGAGGTAAGCTTTAATTGAAATTATTATTTTATTGCCACGAAGATCATTTCAGAAATTGATTACAAGCATGTGGTTATAATTTGCTGTTCAAAAATGCTTTAAAATAAATAAAGGAAGGAAGGAAGGAGAGCAGAGGGGTGGGCAGGGAGGAAAGGAAGGATTTTCAAAAATTGTAGAAATTATCAACTGAACCACTGATGAGTTCTGGTGTGCGGCTATCGGATAAGCCCTGGAGTGCTAACTGCAAAGTTGGCGATTCAAACCCACCAGCCGCTCCTTGGAAACCCTATACAGGGTTGCTATGAGTTAGAGCCGTCTCAACGACATTTTAGCAACTATTGATTGTGACACTGTAGGATAAGCACTGGACCACTAACTGCAAGGTCAGGGATTCAAACTCACCCAGCCGTTCCTTGGAAACCCTCTACAGGGTCACTATGAGTTGGAACTGAGGTGACAGCGCTTAACAACAGCAGCAGCAATGATTGACAACATAAGTCCCAAAGTCACATGCTGTAGTGTGTGAATGTGTGTAGATAGCAGCATAACCATGAAAATAAGTACCGGCAAAGGAATGACGGGCCTAAAGGAGGTTCTGATGGGAGTATTGAGACGGGGTATGGACAGCAACCAGCTGTGCCACAGAGAACGCTAAAGTACTTTTCCCTCTCTCTTCTCAGTTCAGGTTCCACAAGTGTGGGTGGCTCTGTATGCTGCAGGCACCCCTGGTATCGTAGGTGTTAACAATGCCAGTCTGGTAGCTGAATAGAGTTTTAGTATTTTAAACAGTTACTAAAACCGCTGAAACATTTGCCTGCTCCCTCGTTAAGCTCTCCCACCATGTAATAGAGCCATGTATTAATTCTTGGTATCCCCAATACTTGGCAGAGAAACTGGTAGTGGGAGAATCCCAAGTAATCTTTGTTAACTAGCAGATAAATATCATAAACAAACAGTCTCTGGAGATAACAAGATTAGTTGTAAATTTATGTATTTATTCTACTATTTGTTATTTAATTTACAACTAAAATAACATGGAGAAGCAAAAATCAGATACCAGTGCTCAGATTCTTTTCCATGACCCATGGCTTCAAATTGTTAGGTACATGAAAACAACTGCCATTTCCACGCTTACTACCTGTATGTTTATGAGGATACATTTGAAAGCTTATAGAGTTCTGTATTTGTCTACTGTAAATACCAATATGCCACATACATTTTAATTTGATTTCAAAAGCTATATTTGCTAAAAATTTGTTGTTCAAGAATTTCTAGTTTGATCTCATTCAGGCAGTGAACTGCTCTGACCTCCCTGTTACCACCATCAGCAGTGACGATAACAAACGCAGATGCTGACAGGAGCCAGAAAGAATGTTGGGAACTTAAAGAAACCTGAGGACAAACCCATTACATTACCATGGAGTGGATTCCCAGTCAGCACCTCTCAGGGCAGAGTAGAACTGCTCCATAGGATTTTCAAGGCAGAAATCTTTATGAAGCAAACTGCCACATCTGTGGAGAGGCTGGTGGATTCAAACCACCTACCCTTCAGACAGCAGCCAAGAGCTTTCACCAGCACACCACCAGGGCTCCTTAGAAACCAGAAAGTCCTATCTAGACGCATTCACATTCAGTTTGTAAAAAAACACTGCCAACCAAACTGTGCCAGATGTGGCCATAGACCCATGAGTCCCTGATTTCTAGTTTCTACAAGAAGGAAGGTTTAATGACTCTTAGCATGTTTGTATAAAAATAGCACATGGAATGCCTTTCACAAAGGTAAATAGGACCCTAATGGCTTTGCCAGTGGAGCTTTCATTCTGAAGACATCCGTCTTGGACAGCTTAAAAATTCTCTAACATTGAACAAAATCTTTGTTATCAAAGACCTGTGTTTTGTCCTAATATAAATAGTTGAACAAGCAATGCTGGGATAAAAATCTAGTACTTATATAACAAATGTTTCAAGTATAGTAAGTTGTAAGAATCGATTCTTTAAGATTGTCCTTTTTCATCTGATTGTTTAAAATTACCTATAGCAATAAAAAATCAATTGTAATTTTAAGAAGCAACAAAGAAATGAATTTCTGAGGTGAGGATTTTTGTGGATATGATGGCCCTATCGGCATTCCTGGGTCATTGTGTTTGCTTTGCCAGCTTCATTTGCCATTGTTAGATTAAGAGTTTCTGCTTTGGTTGCCAAGACAGAAAACAAAGTTTTAGCTTCCTGGTGATTGCCGGCATTCTTGGGGCAGCTGTGCACTGAGCCCCCGGTGTGTGTCTCACAGTACCTCTGTGATTATGAATGCTGTCTGCATTTCAGACATTGTCTGCAGCCAACCTGTGTAAGCACACCATGTGTGCATATGTTTGCACTGTATGTGCACATGAATATTGCATATAGGGCATAAAATGTATATTACAAGCATATGGAATATTTTCTGTCCTCACTCGATAATAAGTCCTTTGTGTTTATTGTTTTTGCAACATGCTCTGCAAATTGAACATTAATACATGATGTTTTAAAAATAAACTTATGTAGACACCAGGAATTTTAAGTAGTTAAAAGGAAAATAAATCACCAAGGAAGCAGTTACCTTTAACTCTATGTTCGAAGCTGTTACTGATATCTGACTATGTGCATATAAAATGTCGACTTAATGACAACCACATAAACGTGTAAGTTTTCATTTTGACCATCCATTGTGACCCATTTGTCCTTTCAATAGGACTCATATTTTTCCTAGAAGTCCTGAAAATAATAGGAGCTACACAGTACACTTCAGGCATTTGGGAATGTTTGGCTGTGTTTGCTTATTCAATTTTTAGTTATCTCCAGTGATTATTGTGGCTCCTTACTCAAGTATAAGATATTATCAATATGTGAGAGGTGGTGTTAGCACATGATTAGCGAATGATTTAAAAGATGATCAGTCATTAGAAATGCAGAGGTTATCTACTGTGGGCCAAAGGCTTCCATAGACACTATAATTCAATCTATGTCTTTTCCTGAGATTCTGATGGCATCTAGGCAGGTGCAGCTTATGAGGCTGAGTGTTCTTGCAGATACTGTACAGATGAGTCCGTTTCAGAGTAGAGCCTTTCATTGTGGTGTTGCCTGGGGGGTGGAGTGGGGGTGGGTACCAAGCTATTGGGATCATTTTATAATGAAGAGACTCTTGTAAGGTGGTTCTTGAACTTGTGGCAATAAAATCTCTTGGACAAGATCCATGGTAAGCCTACATTATGTGGGGTTGCATAGTTCAATAAGATTTCTTTTTTTGTTTTGTTTTTTTCATTTATTTCTCTGTATTCTACTTTGTTATGAAATGGATCAGGAAAATGATAAGAGTTTCACAGTTTTTCTGCAAGTATAAATATTATCTGTTGGATCTCAAGCTTTTATTGGTGATTGGGGAAATTGAGCCAGATATGAAGGACAGAAAGAGCATACGCAGCATATAAAGTATGACTCAGATGATCTTAGGTGGATGCATCATCATCAGACACCATTTAGTGGTGTGTTACTGTGTCACTGCAAAACCCAAGAACTGTGAAAGATGAGTGTACCTCCAGCTACACAAGCACATGTCCACACACACACACACACACTCTTATATAGCATCTGAGAGACACAGAGGAAGCTCGGGAACCAGTCTGTGTTGAGGACAGCCCATTGGCATGATGTACCGCAATTCAATTCGATGCTTGTTTGCTTCAACAGCTCGATAACAAATGTTCCCAGACTTTAGGAGACACTTAGGTCACTCTGCCATCTGGATTGTCACTGGCTGCTGAGCGGTGTTTTTGTTTGTTTTGTTTTTGTCTTATTATACTACTGTGTGCTTACAAGGACCTCAGAAGGTCATGGGGACCAAGTCATCCCCTTTGTAAAACACAGAGGTGTGTAGTGGTTCTTTTGAGCACATTGTAATTTATCGATTTCCTTTTACAAAGTCTGCAAAAAAGATGTCTCCGTGTTATCATGTTCATCTATAACCTTTCAATTAAGTCATTTAAGCTTTATTCACTTGCTGCAGTCTGTTCAATCCCATTTTTATGAGATTGCTAACTCCTGTCACTTATCATTGGGAAACCACATTATTTTGCTCAACCACATTTTCCAAGGTGATGAATCTGTTGTTATCAAATGATACTGTCATGTTAAAAGGATTTCTTTACAGCATACATTTAATAGTCCAGCAGTCCATAGAATGTTTGTTCCAAATATAAGGTGCATCAGATTCCACCCATTCAACCTTTGACATCTAAACTCGGGATCAGTAGCGACTAATGATAGAAAAGGTTTGAAGTTGGCTGGTGTTAACCTTGGGAAGAAAGGCAAGACATAACTCAGAAATAACGTCTAGAGGTGCATTTGCAGTTGAATTCAGATGACAAGCAGAGGCTAAACATTTCTTGTTTCACCAAAAATGAAATAAAAAAAATTAATTTGTGTAACTTCTGCACAATAAATAGCAAGTTGGAAATTGTGCATGGCAAATGTGTTTCTGGTTGCCTCTGATTTTTCTTCCTGATAGAATTTAAATTGTTGAATTAAAACACATGTGGGTGGTTTTAGTAAATGAAAAAAATATTTTTTACACTGCACTGGGTTGTTGGTTTTTATTTGATAGTTACTAATACATATTCATTTCACATTTGGACAGATACGGCAGATGGCGTTTCTCAGGAACTCTTCTCTGCGGGCTTGGTCGATGGTCATGATGTAGTTATAGGTAAATCATCTTTTAGTATGCAGTATCATTTTCCTGATACATCAAATGGGAATGTGTTTAGAAACAAAAATTTTCATAAAGGAACTACTTCACCCTATGTATTTTTGGAAAATTTCTTCTTAAATTTTTATCTTGGAGGAAGAAGTCCATTTAAAAACCATGCTTAATTTTTTTTTGAGACAGCTGTTATTTTTGTATGTATGTTTCCTGCATCTTCACATCACTTGTTTGATGAGAGACTTCAGTTATGGCAATATAGCAAAAAACCTAAAAGTAGGACCCCAAAATCCAAGCCAAATGTTACAAATTCCATGCACAGAAATATGGAAACCTCTGAGGTCATTTCTCTGGAATTTCTTATTCTTTCTTTGGACTCAGTCCGGATACATTTAGGTGCTGGTTTTCCCAGCCCTCAGCAGTATTCTTCATGAAATCTTCAGCTTGGGGCCTTAAAAATCACTCGTGCTTTTTTTGCATAAGGAAACAGAATCCTAGGGGCTCAGTGGTTTATCATGGGGGCTAGGCTTTAGAAGAGACAGGGCAGGAACCTGGATGCTTCACTTTTAGACTATGGCTCCTGTTACCACGTTTTATATGAACAGATGGCTAATAGAGAGAGGGAGACCTGCTAGATATAGCCATATTGATAGGAGCCAAAAATACTGCTAAACCTCTTGACAAGGGAGGTAGAAAAGTTCCAAGAGATAATTCTATGGTTGTCATTGTCATTAAGAGCCATAGAGTTGGTTTCAGCTCATAGCAACCCTGTATAGGTTTCCAAGGAGCGACTCGTGAGTTTGAACCTCCGACTTTGTGGTTCAAACCAACCTTGCAGTCCAGTGCTTATCTTATAGCGCCACACCAGGACTCCCCATACTTCCATTTGTTGTTGTAATGTGCCGTGGAGTTGGTTCTGACTCATAGCGACAAGGTCTCCAAGGCTGTAAATCTTTACGGGAGCAGAAAGCCTCATCTTTTTCCCACGGAACAGCTAGTAGTTTCGAACTGCTGACCCTGAGGTTCACAGCCCGATTTGTAACCACTACGCTACCAGAGCTCCTTCCCATACTTCCATAACAGCTTCTAAATTAATAGAGATTTTATAAGATCGCCCATTCCTGGGTATTTTTAAAGATGACCCTAAGTAAACAAGATTAGTTAACATAATATTAATTAGAATTATGATCTGTTAATTGTAAGAACACTCTATTGATTAGGAGATTGTGCATGCTAAGATTTTCTTCAAAAATATCAAAACCCAAATCGATGTTTAAATTGACATGCTCCCCCTGAATGACACATTATATACCTTTAAAAATCCAATTTATTTGTAATAAATTATTTCCCAACAATACTGGAAGATGTGACTGAGAGGGACATTTAGGGAGCTGTACGCATTTTAAGGAGCTCTGGTGTAGGTGGACTAATGCATCAGACTGCAAAGTCATTTGAACTGCAAGGTTGGTGGTTCAAACTCACCAGCCGCTCCTTCGAAACTCTATACAGGGTCACTATGGGTTGGAATCAACTCGACAGCACTTAACAACAACAACAAACACATTTTAAGGAGTCCTGGTGTGGCGCTGTGGGTTAATCTGCTTGACTGCGAAGTTGCTTTGAGATACAAGGTCGGCGTTTCATGCTCACCAGCTGTTCCTCGGAAACCCTATACAGGGTCTCTATGGATTGGAATCGATCGATAGCACTTAACAACTCACTTTAAGCATAATTTGTTAGTAGACGCTCTATAATATAGATCATTATAAACCAAATTATTTAAATAAGAATAACTGGGTTTATAATGGGAGATTAGAATTTTGACTAAAGAATCAGTATCTAGTATGCCATTGGTAAACGCATGATACATCATAAATGCACAGATACATAATATACTAGACTGCAAAGTCAGCTTGAACTGCAAGGTTGGTGGTTCAAACTTACCAGCCGTTCCTTGGAAACCCTATACAGGATTGCTGTTGGTGGGAAACGACTCTGCAGCACTTAACAACAACAAGGGTTGGAGGAAAGGGGTAATGACTGCTTATGGGTACAAGGTTTCTTTGGGGAATCAGAAAAATAAGGACAATATTACATAATCTAGGGAATTTGCTCATAACCACTGAATTGTGTACTTCAAAATAGCGTATGTGAATTATATCTCAATTTTATGAAGTCAGGTTGTATCAGTTCTGAAGTCACAACATTACACAAAGACTTCTCAGTGGCCTATAACACCCTTCACATCTGTCCCCTTTCCACCTGTCAGACCTCCTGTCTTCTACTCCCCCCCTTGCTCACTTCACTTCAGCCACTACACGCCAGAAGCATTACTGTTTCTTCGACAGGACACTGATTCTCCAGATACATGCATCATCCCTTATCTACTGTTGTTGTTGTTGTTAATGTGCCGTGGAGTCGGTTCCGACTCATAGCGACCCTTAAAGGGTTTTTGAGGCTGTAAATATTTTACAGGAGCAGAAAGCCTCATCTTTCTCCCATGAAACAGCTGGTAGTTTCGAACTGCTGACCCTGAGGTTTACAGCCCGATTTGTAACCACTATGCTACCAGCAGGTCCGCGGGAGAAAGATGAGGCTTTCTGCTCCCATAAAGATTTACAGCCTTGGAAAGCCTGTACAGGGTTGCTATGAGTCAGAACCGATTCCATGGCACATAACAACAGCAACAACAATGCTACCAGAGCTAGGATGTGCTTAAATAGTCCCTTTTCCAAGAGGCCTACCCTAACCAGCCTACTTAAGATTGCACCCCACAAGCAAATCCCTGCCTTCTTCATGACTTTATGATCCTAGCTGGTCTCGACCCATTTGAGAGGCTATGAATTATATAGCTTTTCCCTTATACATACGTTTCTTGAAGGCCACAATTTTTTGTTTTGTTAATGGGTATGCTCCCAGTGCCCCTAAATGGTTGTATCACCTAGTAGGTGCCCAGTAAATACTTACCATAAAAAAACGAATCCCATTTTGAAATATACAAATGTCTAACAATTACTTTGGAAATAAAGGCTGTTTTGAATGTAAGATTCCAATCTTCTTGAGGACAGGTACTTTCAAGCTTACAAAATACTAAGGACATTTGCAAATGCGAAACAGGCTCATTTGATGACAGCTGAAAACATCTAACTCACCTGAGAGCAGTGAGATGCAGAGGTCTGAATGGATTTTTATATGAGCTTTTTTTCATCTTCCATAATATAAAATACGTCATCTGATCTCTTGACTGTTGCTTCCACGAGAGTTGATAGTTGATCCAGGAAGAATGAAGTCCTTGACAACTTCAATCTTTTCTCCGTTG